AGATAATCTGCCACTAACCTTCAAGAGGAAGGTATACATCAGCTGCATCTTGCCGGTACTTACTTATGAAGCAAAAACCTGGAGGTTTACAACAGGGTTCAGCGTAAATTGAGGACACAGCGAGCAATATAAAATAAAATGATAGGTGTAACCTTAAGAGATAAGAAGAGAGCAGAGTGGTTGAGGGAACAAACAGGCGTTAAGGATATCATAGTTGAAATCAAGAAGAAGAAATGAACATGGGCCAGCCATTCAACGCGTAGGCAGAATAACTGACTGGATTCCCAGAGAAGGCAAATGCGCGAAGGGGAGAAAAAGTTAGGTGAGCCGATGAGATTATTATTTATGCTTCAAAACGGGTTTGTATACATTGACAGAGTTAACGTATTCGAAATGAAAAGCAATCGTTAATTTGTATTCACTTGCATTTCTTCCACTGTGACTCCATGACCACCATTCATAGCTTGCCCGAGGGCTCCAGCTCAGGATATGAAATCTCATCTGCTAAGAAATGTTACTGTTCAGTTGTTTTCCACCTCTAGTAAATTTAGTTTTGTTTTATTTCACAAAACATTGTGTTTACTCCGGATAGACTTCTTAAGAAGCGACGAGGACAATGGCTGCCAGTTTGAATTAACTGTTGTGAATACCAATGTGTTCAAATTATCCAGAGATTACCCCCATGAAAATACACAGCACTATGCTCTTCTATGTAACCGAGTTCAAATAACCACATTTTAAAGTAATAATATTTGTTCTATGTAAAAGACGTGACACATGACAAGAAATTTTTAAAGGTATGCTTTTTTAACAGAACAATGTCCGATTGCACTCAGTAGGTATATTCAGAGTTGGCCAGTGTTTGTACATGTCGACGATTTTAATGTGTACTAACAGCCATTTGTTGAAATCACTGTGCAATATGTAGCTAAATGAACTAGTTTTGTATGAGACCCATGTTAACAGTCAGGTAGGCAGTTTGGTAGTAGTGAAGAATGAAAATGCGAATTCAGCTTCTGCCGTCGTCTATTGCTGGAGCAGTATCTCTGATGACTATGTTTCACTAGCACAACAAATATTTATTCACCTGTCAATGTAAAGCACAGAAACTGTGAGGGTCATTCAAAAAGTAAGGGCCATTTGGTTTTAAGCAATTATTATTCATTAGCAAATGCATTTGTTGGTGCGCTTAGTAAAAAGGGTAAACCATTTTCGCTTTTCTGCAAAGCCACTGCTAACTTTTTAGCGCATTTCATACCGTCACAGTCGTTTTATTAGTCAATCTGCTGGGAAGAAAATAATCCCATGGTGCTGGCTCAGTACAGTAGGGCGTGCTAACAATGTTTTTAACCAAAATATTTGATCTTTATATTGGTTATGACTTTGGTGCAAGATGCACATTCTCATGTAGGAGGATGATTCCGGAAGAAAATTTGTGACGTTATCAATGTTTATCATACTTTTCTCTCTGTGAGGGTTCTACAGTATACACCAGCTGTAACTGTGGCCCATAATTTGTTAAAATAAACACTCAAAATGCCCTTTTTGATTCGTAGAATGGTACCCATCCTTTTCTAACTGTAGTAATCTAATTTCATCCATTTTTTCGGTTTTTGTGAAAACCACAGTGTTATTTCTGCAATTGCGTACACTATCAAGCGTCGTCACCTGTGCAAAATTGTGCGAAAACAGATGATGCCTGTCTTATTGGTAGCGGTTCTAACACGCTCGTCCATTTGACGTCCTTAGCTGTTCGAGTTGGTCGGTAAACAAATTTGGAATCTAGCTTGAACAAACTTTGTGATACCTGGGCATATCAGCTACAATTGTGCAAATTGTTGCAGGGCCAACAAAGGGAATTTAGTCTTACAGCCCCTCAAGTGGTAGTCGTCAATATATTGCAATATCTAATCCACTTGAACAGTTCGGTTGGTCTGGATGCTTTGCGGGACACTCCACTGTTTGTAGCACACATTTGCGCAAGCATTTCGGAAGTCTCCACATCGTGTTCTAACACTTGTTTCACTCCCCACAGTTAGTTCATGATTTAGGCACAACTCCTCGCAAATTGAAAAAGCCAGTGAATCTTTTGCATGCAAAAATGTAATTACAGTGTGCACCTCACAATAGGCGGGAGCAACCATAATAAAGCCAGTGAATCTTTAGCATGCAAAAATGTAATTACAGTGTGCACCTCACAATAGGCGGGAGCAAACATTTTTGCCAACATTGTTATCTGCGTTCCCCGTCAAGCCGATGATTACTGAGCCAGAACAATCTTTTCAGTACTTTCACAGGAAAGTAGCAGATTGTGCAGTGTATGAAAATCTTCATTCTGACGTGCAAATATTGTAAGATTAGGAAATGGCCTTTAATTTATGAATAACCTGCGTAGAAAAATGTATTATACAGATTGGACTGGAATGATTGCTCACTGCCTATTTTTCCAGCATTGCTACTGTGACTTTCATCAATTCTTAGCTGTCTAGTGTTACTAGTGTTCCACGTGTCCCTATTGTATGCACGTATGTCATGTTTAATGTGTAACTAGTGCTTTCCACGTGGTGCCTAACTTCTTTTTTACAAATGAGTGCTTTTGGTAACACCAACAGGCATCCTCTATCTCGTGTGTCAGCCGATCAACAGTGGGCAAACAAGGGCAAGGGTAGCTCCATTCTCTGAGCTCGTCATCCGTGACAACTTTCACAAGAATGCTGACTTGCTGAAATGTTTGCCTAAGGCTTTCATCATACGCCAACTGTTACTCAAGTAAAGTGTCTGTCACTGCAACTTTTTCACCTGTTTTCAAATGTAAACTGAGTTTCTTCTCGCCATGTTTTTGTAAATGGTGTTTTCCCAGGATGCACGTGCTTAGCACAACTGGAAGCTGATCTAGTTAGTCTTGAAAAGATTGGACACGCAGGCAAGAACGCAGATGTTAAACACAATATCGATAACAATGTTCGATAACACCATATCGATAACAACAACAGCGCGGGGTCATTTATTTTTATTCAACGAGTTGTGCCTCTCGCCAGTGTGTTGTCAAATATCATATTGCGGCTCAGGGTAATTGTACTGACACTGAACTTTTTGAGGGTACGTATGGTGAGAAAGACAACGAGCAGCACGTACCAAGTACTGTGCAAGGGGTGCGCAGTGTATATATCATCGTCTGACTAAACGAGATGAGAGACAAAGTTGCACAACTTCAGCGGGTAGTGTTAATAAGCACATGGCTATTCCTGCATTCTTTGCATGTATTGTTATACTCTGTGAGTGACAGGGTTCCTTGTTTTCGTGTAGACTGCTACATTACCGATTGTCAATAAACAATTTGAGTTTACTTGCTTGGTGTGCTTATTGCCAGTTGAGGCATTTCGGTCCCCTGGAAACATAGCAGAAATAATTATAGTGACGTTATTACGCCGTGCGCGCGAATAACACCCCGCAATAGCATTGAATAAACGCCCATAAACCTCCGGCGTGCACCGCGACTCCCCGCACCCGCCACCGAAGCAGCCACCATATTTATCTAGCGCATTGATGATTGTAGTCGCACCAGCGCCATCTCTAGGTGGCTTAAGTTAGTTCACAACGCCACCGATACCCTTATTTTCGTTGCAATGTCGAAGGCACAGTTTCCATTCTCTAAGTGGTAGTATATAGGTGTTCTGTGCTTGTAGCATATACCAGAGTGGCAGCCAAAGGAAACGGTTCCGTCTCGCCAGTTCATCTGAGAGAACAGTCGCCCCCGAAAGAGGCCCTGTTTCGATGTCTTCATTTCTCCTCATTTGTGCTGGTTGGCTCTGACATGTCAACAGGATGAGGGCACGCCCTGGGCGCCATTTGATGCCTAATTTTTTGTTTCGTTCCACGCGATAGGGAAGGACTCGCTTGGCACGGTGATTTTATGCTGTTCATCTGCAAATATACATGGTCTTAAGCTTTCTGCTGCCCAATTACAGCTGCGAACCTTTTAATCTAATCAGCCCACCTGACTTTCTGTTTCCCTTCCGCGCGCTTGTTTTTCTGAGAATCCAGTCTGCTACCCTTAATGAACAGCGGTTATCTAGCCAACGCGCTACGTGCCCGGCCCATGTCCATTCTTTCTTGATTTCAGCAATAGATATCCTAAACCTCGGTTTTTTCCTTGAAACACTCTGCTCTGTTCTTGTCCATTAGGACAAACCTGTCATTTTCCTTTCTATCGCTCGCCATGTTGCCCTCAATTTCAGCTGAACCCTCTATGTAAGCTTCCAGGTTTCTGCTCTGTAGAGAAAGGCCGTCCAGATGCAGCTGTAATTTGCCTTTCTCTTGAGCATTAAGGGCAGATTACCATTCATGACGTGAGAATGTTTTTCGATTGTGATTCACCTTTTTCCTATTCCTCTAGTTCTTTGACTCTCTTGCTTTGGACCATGGTTAGTACTGGTCCTAAGTAGGCACATGCTATTACAACTTCCAGCGTTTCTCCACGTATCGGAAAGTGCTGTTTTTTGCCGAGATGGTTCCACATTACTTTACTCCATGCGTATAAGTTTTCAGACCTACTCTTCTGCTTAACGTGTGTACTTCGTAAATCATCAGCTGTAACTGGGCCCCTGACAAGACAAGGCAATGTCATCAGTGAATCGCAGTTTACCAAGGTACTCTCCATTAACTCTTATCCCTAACTCTTCCCAATCTAGGTCCCAAATTACCCCCTGTAATGACGTGGTGAATGCCATTAAAGAGATCGTGTCTCCTGGCCTTACACCTTTTTTATTGGGATTCTCTCACTTTCTTTATGGAGAACTATGGTGGTTGGAACCACCGTAAGTTTCTATCAGTTTAGTTATGTCGGTGCCCTGATTCCACTTGCCGGTGCCCTGATTCCATTACTGCTGATGTCGCGACTGAGTCTGATGCCTTCTGGTAATCTCTGAAGGCTATGCTAAATTTAATGAGCGCCAAAAGTCCTGAGATAGTTTTTTTAATTTTTAGGCTGATCAACAGACATTTAAAGGTGCGAACTCAAGATGCTTTGGGTTGCCCTTATCATGATAACTGCAGCCCAGCTGGTCACCGTACTGGGTAAGCAAACGTTTGTTTTCTTCTCTGGTGTTCTTTAGGAGGCGCCGTTGAGGTATGTTTAAGCTCTCTTCCAGCTATGCCTGCGCTATATGTTCTATATTCATCACTGAAGAGACTAGACGCTGAAAAGAAAGGTAATTTAATTAAACATCAAAATCACGTGCGGTGCAGGTTACATTGCCCACTTGACGTTCAAGATTCTCGTGGGTGTATGCCGCATTGGCGAATACGCACGTGATTCTCTGAAGTTAACACATTTCGCTTGTGCTGGCTACATGATACAATCGGGCCTTTTGAGGAGATGCTAACAATGTGCCCACAAAGCCATTCTCAAAACCTGAGCGTACTTTTAAAGATAATCTCTGGAATGCTCCGTACCTCATTGTTTTCTTTATATACCTTTTTACAAACAATAAACAAAAAATACCTTACTCAATATGAATAAAGTGTAGGAAACGAGACAAACAAAAACATCGAGATGAAGAGTATGTCACAAAGCTAAAAACGAAGATTTACTCGCCGCACATAGTCAGTCAGCAAATGTATATTAGTGCACTTCTAAGGAATAACAGAATCACATTTGCTGGCCGCCCTAACTTTCAAGATTTTCTTAGTGCTTAACTCCTTAGGTCACCTTAAGTGGTTCAACATCGATGCAAGCTATTAAAGAATAAACATAAAACAAATATTTTGAACTCGCATTCCAGCTGTTAACGTGCGCAGCAAAGCTGTATGAACACCGCGCATGGTGATATGGGCTGTGACTAAGTTTTATTATCAATTCAGGGGAACGGTAATTGTAAGTGCTTTCAAATTTCTGTCATAGGACGTCATTGAACCAGTGAAAATTGGCATCAAGGCAAAATCGTTCATTTCATCAAGCAATGTATTCATGCAGTTCTTCAGGTGTCTAACTTCGCACGCTCTACCCATGGCACCGTCAAAATGAACAAAATGAAGTTGCGAAACAGGTCTCCTTTTATATATATGGAGGTCGGAAACACAGGCGGGTAAACGTAATAGTCTTTTGATATCAGTAGAAAACCTTCTGTGATGAAGCGACATATTCATTACCGAGAATGCGTGAGAGGGTGCTCCTATTATTCACAAGCAGCTTACAATCAAGAATGCGGTCTGGATAATTGTTTTCTCATTTTTTTTGGAACGAATACTGATATGTATGCTGTATGCCTGTTCGGAAAGAAATATAACTCGTTTGTCTTCAATTAAAGGGCCCCTAAACCACCCAAAGGTAAAAATCATATTGGAGAGCTTCATTTGTGCGCGAGTCTACAACAATGAACATGCTAGACCGAACACGTTCTACGGCTCGTGTGTTCACCTTTCTGAATACCCTACCTAAATGTCAGTAAGTGGTTCGTGAAAGAAAGTAAACCATAGCTAATTTCTTCCAGCCTTGTAGGTGACACGGCTAAGCTTCTTGTTGGCAATGAAGTAAGGGGATATAAGGACTAATAAAAAGAGAAATACGTAGAAGATGGAGCACTCGTCAAACACGACTAAAGAAAGAGCAGAGAAGAAACAAGAAGGTTAGGGAACATAGTTCAAGAAGTCCGAGGAAGGAAACGACTCTGTGAGAGCTATATGGCACCATGAAATTGTAGGTGACACAACCATTCGGCACGAAATCCTACGAAGTGAGCTTCGCCATAAAGCAAAGCTTCACACAGCACAATAGCTTAACGCTTCTGAGCTTAATAAGTGCAATGGCATAAATGAAGTAAAAGGATAAACCCAGTGTCGTTACGCAGCTTGTTAGTTGTAGGCCAGGTAACCTGCTATTAATTGGCTGTTTGCGAGTCAGCCTGCAAGCCAGCCCACCTGGTATCTGCCAGTCAATGAGGACGTTGTCAAGCGAGATTCTATTGATCGTCATGGGGTACTTTGGTTCTGTCCCTATCCTGATTTTACGCTCTAGAAGTAGAATACACCATTTACTTTGCTTCCAAATGCGTGCGGTGGTTGGGAATAAATCCCTCACTGGTGTTCACGAGCTAAACATTTGTTAAAACGAGCGATACATTTGTTGAAGCGAGACGTCCGTAATTTGCTGGCTGAGTTTTGCGTGATTTCTGGTTTATTTTTAGGCCTTACTTTTTAATGGTTTTTCCAACTTTATAAAATCTTAAAGGGTAGTTTCGTCCATCATAAGCTTGTTTGGTTGGAATCCTTCTCCCACAGTTTGGGTTGCCGCACCTGAATTCATAATTTCTCAGGTGACTGGCAAGAAATTTCCGTAAATGTTGGTTGCGTAAATGCAGTTTGCAAAAACTTGTCTTGGTATAATGAAGCATTTCGAATGAAATCTTCTTAGTACACATGCTCAGCGCTTTTTTAGCTCACACTCAACTTGGTTCAAGTTAATGTATCTATCATGCTGCTCAGGATGGTCAAAATCAGTTGTGGTTGACCTTTTCATTTGACAAAGCATTTCATGTCGGCAGTGACCATAAACGACAGAACTAACGTATAGAGCGTTTGGTGATCTCTTTGAAGTGCAGGTTGCAATTTTTGTCTAGACGGCCTTTTCAGAGGCATTAGATAAACGAAAGAGCAGGCATTTAAGAGCCAGAATCGAGCCTGGTTCCCACATTCACAAAATTAACGATGAGTACGTTGATGAAGCTTCTGCCTACCAATAGGTGAGCATTCTGTACGTCGCAAGAGAGCTTTATAGTAGAATTTTTTTCGGTGACAACGTCATTAATACAGATTTTTGGCTTGTATTGACTGAAGACTACCGACATGTTCGGGCTACTGAAATTCCGAAGTGGAGCAGATTCTTTCGCAATCTCGATGGCGCACACGTCACGGCTGTCGCACGCAATAAGTGATTCATCTAACAAAGCAATTAGCAATCAGACAAAAGCGCAGTATATGTTGAAAAGTAATTTCTTGGATGACACATGATCGATTTTGGGCCAAGGATAAGCGTTTTTAACGACGATACGTTTCACACGCCAGAAGCATTTTAGTTTTATTTCATTTATCTTATTTAAAATACGTACCGGCCCCATAGCAGACATTTATTAAGAGAGAAGTGCACTACACAAGTGCACATATGTGAAGGAAAAATGAAAAAAAAACAGCTGCAAAACAACAAATTCATGAGAACACAATAAATTTTTTGCATGTCTCAGCTTATTGGTGACGTTAGCACTAAACCCTTGAGCGAGAGCTTATGCTTGGCACATTCACGCGTTGTGTGGCAGTAGACGTTGCAGTTTAGCACTTGCACTCGGCGTGTTAGTGTAAGGGAGGCAATCACAAGCGTCAGTCTGTTGCTGCGTTTACGTCGGCGGTCATTTTCACTGTCGCGGAAGCGGGTAGGTCACGCTCCAAATCTCATTATGAGACCAGGCTTCGGTTGCATGATCACAAATGCTCCCGCCATTGCTGTTCAATGCACCGTGAGTCCTGCATATCACGAAGAAGGTTGTTGTCGTAATCATATGTCGTTCCGAAGAGCTGCAAAGTTCGCCAGACTTCGCGAGAACTTATTCCCGTGAGTTTTTGTTCTCGCGTACTGCTGAAGCCGAGGTTATGGCTAGGCTCTATACGACGTCTCTGTGAACTGACACAGCTCGAGTATAACATTAGGCAAAAGGGAGCTTTGGGCAAGTTGCTTTGGGTTTATCTTCAAAACAACGCAACTTCATGAGGAAGAAGAAGGTAGAAACAACGGGACATTCTCCGACCCATCCTTGTGTAGTGGCGCTGTTTTAACAGCCCCACTGTATAAGTTTAGCACCTGTATAAGTTTAACAGCCCCGCTGTATATCGAGTGAAGCTAGCATTTAGAGCAAACGCTGTGCTGCATTTAACTGTGTTGTATAAAATTGAACAATATTTGGTGACGTAGCATTTTGCAGTCATAGTTATGCAAACTCCTCTCTTTTTGTGCCCTTTGAATGTTTTGCTTCAAGATACTGAGAACTTATTTCGCGTCCGCACCTTATGCTTACTCAGTTCCGTACTGTAGAAGTCATCTGTTCAAGATAGTATTGTAATACAACTCACAGAAAGTGCTGCCGAACATGTAGTCTTAAAAACCTAATAAGGATCTCAGTGCATTTCGAGATAGTACCTTTATTTCTGTGTAAAAGGTGTAATATGCTGTTTCACTCGCGAGGACAACACCACTCTTAATTCTGCGGAAAAAGAAATGTGGCCTTCGAAAAACTTGTGGTTGCCATTGAGTTAGACCCGTTTTTGTTTTTGCGAATTGCGCGAAGGTGAGCTTTTCACGATATTCTGCGGAACAACTATAGAACTTTTGGCTTCACAATACTTGTTGAGATACTATGAATACCTTTGATTAACAAAATGAAGTTTCTTCACAGCATTCGGTACCCTGTTTTTAGCAAAAATATTGATAACCTAATATATTCTTCAATAACGCCCCACTGTCACATGTTTGACGTCTCCCTTTCCACGGGACGTCAATCCACAGCACAACGTAGGCAGGCGCCAGGCCAGGGCCATTACACTTCTTAAGAGCATCAGGAATGAGCCTAATTTGGTGTGTTTTGTCTACGCTACGGTTGCTCGGCTATAGGTTTTCTGTTACTTCCATCAATCAAGTGGGTTGTGTTTATCAGTGCTGTGTCACTTGAGGGCTCTACTATCTCATGAACCACACAGTTGGCTGTAGTCCCTGCCATTTTGGATGACAGTAGGTCACAAATCTTCACTGATTCAAGGTCGGAGCTTTCGTCTCTTGTTCCGTCTGTGCCGAAGCATTCAAACTACTTGAAAATGGGACACTTTCTCCACGTACCAATACCCCGTTTCCTGCACATCTAGAACTCCTACCGAACTCCCTCGTGAACATCAATGACACTGCTTCCTCGCGGGCGTGAGCACAAACTCTCTATTCTGGTAAGAACGTAGACCCCCTGGTTGGAAGAGGGCAGTGTAGTGCCAATTTGTTTACATTTAGTGAAGTGAGTAACTACTATCAGTTTAGTAGGGGATTATTTTTTCTTTCCCATAGCTAGTTTCTTATACACCAGGCCACTACGTTTAGAACACTCGAGACCAGGTCCTATCCAAATCTTTCTTTTCTCAGCGTCGTCTCCTCAGGCGATTTTTGAGTATACTTGCCCTGATTGTGGGGATGTTAGTAACATTAAACCTATGCTCTGATGATGACCCTTTCTATGGGGCTTGAGTCAGCTCACAGAATTGAATTGGGACCCTGCCTTACGAACTTCAGAGTTACTACCACAACTACTGGCTGTCCAGAGAGCCCCGATGTGGTGGTGAGGCTAAGCTTCCCCGTCCCAACGTAGGAGTGGCCTGTGGCGTTTCTCCAAAGTGGTAGAGTTTCTCAGGACCCCACAACGTTTGTGTTTGTGTCTGCTGGTAGGGTAATCAGTTCTTTTTTTCAAAATTATCTCTCCGTTGTCACACATTTGGTTAAAATACATATGACATACAGCTCGCGACCCTACAGCGAAACTCAAACAGAAATGCCTGAGTACCAGTGCTTCCGAAATAATGAAATTTTCTGAAGAGAGCTTTAAACATTTTGAAAGATTGAAGTTTCAAATTCGTAAAGATATCTCAGTCATCTGCCCCATATATGCAGCTGAACCATAAACACATATGGAGCTGTATCATAAAATATATTTATTACAGTGAAATCTGTTATAAGATCACAACACGGGCCACGCGTGGCGCCATAGTTGTCTTCCACCGCCAATGTTCGTAACCACTATCGCGCAAAATAAAAAAAAATGAAATAAAAAATTTAGCATATAGTGGGATTTGAGCCCTGGTCCACTGCATGCAGGCCAAGTAATCTACTGCTGAGCCACGCCAATGCTTGGAATTCATTAGCAAACTTGCCTTAGGCAGTCTTGATGCAAGGAAAGGAATCACGTTAATGCGAGTAATGAAGCGTTTTAAAACAGCAAAAGAACGGCCAGGCGTCACACAATGCCTACTGCGTAACGAGTGGGCCATCCAATGCTCCAACCCATTACAAAAGCTTGTTCATCGCCTAATAACTGTGGCACATACCCTCTTTAGGCGTGATTATTCATCCTCGTCAGTCACTGTATGAAACACAAAATTCGCACAATATTGTTTGCAAGTGTTAAGCCGATACCACGCTTCTCCATGAATTTACAAAAGATAGCATAGTGAATGGTGGCTTCCTACACAAAAATAATGACTTTTTATTGCGCAGTGGGTGCCAACAAGTGTGCGTCAGACATTTACCTAAATATTGTTTAAGAAAGGCTACCAAAGCCCACTCTTCCAGGTTTTGCTATGATTGTGCTGCACTTTCTGTGCAAGCCTGGCGATCCCCTCCTCCCTCCCTGTAAATGAGCGTGTAGAAATCTTTAAGGGAGCATAATGACCACCTGAGAAAGTTAACGCGCCCCTTTGAAGAAAGGAAAGTAGAGAAAACTTTGGTTCGATTTTCGTTCACTTTTCTTCCTTCACATTTACAATACAATTGTTACAAACCAGATCCTGTTTACTTTCCTTCACATGATTGTCTATTCATTCTCATCATATTGTCTCTCTAAAAAGTGTTGTATTTTAGGTCAGGAATAACACACAAGAAAATAACATACATCATTCTTTTCTTAGAGTGACATCTGCGTAAGGACATGAGCGTGCGTGCGTAGTAACACTATCTATGTGCGCTTCGTAACATTGCGTATCTGTATATCAGGTACTACTGTGTTTTTGTGTATGTGTGTTTGCGAATGTGCGTGTTTGCACACACGTGGAACAGACGCACGCTATTGTGCCTGTAGTTCAGCAACGCAATTCGACTTCGTGCTAACTGTCTCATCTACACTTCACATACTTCGACACCAGGTGAAACCATTATTGTCCAAACGGGCGCGGAAGATACTTCGAACATAGTGATCCCTTCATCAAGTTCTGGATCTACTGTTGTCATCAAAAAAGACCCACCACCAAAAGGTACGTGGGTCGTTGTTTCGTCCACCGTCTGTCCATTTATCCTGAATGCCGAGCAACGGTATTAGCATAAAAAACTCTTTCGTAGCATATACCACCATCACCTGCTGACAAGCGTGTAACACAGTATGCACCTTGCATGCAACTTATTGAAGGAGACAGAGTAGAGAAATCAAACAAACCAGAACTTTGAAGAACGCTTACGTATCTAACATATAGGCATAGTGTTACATTTGGCCCAGTAACTCGTCGTAGCAGACGCCAGTGTGCCTGAGCTTGTCTGCAAGAATGCTTTCACTTAATATAGCACCTCGTCGGAAGCAGAAAGCATGAAGTTGTCCTGCAGGTGGGCCAGGCACTTCTCTGGGGTCGGGTTACGAGAAGTTCGGTAAAGGCTTCGTAAACAACCCTTTGTTGAGCGCGATTGAACAGCGTGAGACAGCGTCACTGTTGCAGTTCTCATGGAGTGAAGATCTCAACCACCCAAAATCAGCCATTGTCGCCTACGCGAGGTGATCACAAAGCAGCGATGGCTCGGTAGCATGGGACGGCGTCGTTATTGCAGTTCTAAGGAATCAAACTCATGAACACAGCCATGGACCGCTGCTGACATTCGTGTCAGGGGCCATCTTCCCTAGAAGTGACCTGAACTTTCTCCCTCCACCGGACTCAACTTCCTCGCCCGGCGTATAGAGTCTTCAAGGCAGCCACTGGCCTAATGCATCGTTGTGTGACGCGCTTGTGCTACCCATAAGACAATTTTGCCCATGTTCCTCATAAGCTGACTGGTGCAATGTCTGCACCCTTCCTGGTCGGTGGCCCGCTAAGACTTCAAGTTGCGTGATTCGTTAGAGCAGTGGTCACTGACTTTTTGTGTTGTTTGTGTTGTTTATTCATTTATTTGTGTTGTTTATTCATTTATTTTGTCTTATTGTGTACAAGAACAGAAAATGAGGCGAAGACAAAAGGCTTAAAAGCCTGATAAGGGGCCTATCCTTGAAATGCAGTGAGGCACGTAGGCCGTCATGAGCACTTAGCAAGATACAAAATATATGAGTGGAAAAAAAGAAAAAAACATACACATGCAAACAAATGAAATGCAAACACAAACAATGAAGCATTGTTGATCGTAAGCATATATATACACAAGAAATTGTAGTTAGCAGCGTACTAGTGCATCATTAGCTGTAATACATACACAGAGATGCTTGAAAAACAATAGAAACATTTAAGAAATAGTCATATGGTTTAATATTAGCACCAATAAAAACATGAAATACATCATAGGCAAGAAGAAAGAAACAAACACTCAAGAAAATTCAATGTTGTTTCGTATTAGTGCCTTTTTGATCATTTTATTGCTTATTTTCTCTTTATAACTAGAAGCCAGTTGATATTGTTTAGAAAGGCAGGTATCTGAAAAGATGTGTGTTGCCAGCCGTAAATTGTTCGCATCGTTGGAGTCCTTTTAACATAAGTACGAAAACCATACAGTATACCACGAGGATCCTGCAAACTATACTGTCTTCTGCATAATATATGCTGATGTCATTTGAAGTAACAAATCTGATTAGCGTTGAGCATAAGGTATTTCAATAATAGTGGCTCTGTCCGCAAGTCATGTATAAGGCTATGGAAATTCTCAAAAATTCTCAGGTGTTGTTTTTTTTTGCAAAATAAGCAGTTTATGATACTTCGTTTGCATAGAAGTCCCCCACTCAAGTGTGCAGTAGGAGAGTGTAATAATTTGTGTTTTTCTACCACAGTGGTATGATATAATTTAGCTTGTATAGACATCCGCTTCTTTTACTTCATTCTGGTATTCACTTAGCTAAACTTTCATTACAGGTTAAGTCTTCGTGAAACGACACACTTAAGAACTTTTGAGACTTAACCTGTTCTACTATATCACCCTATTATATGAAACGAATGCCAGAAAAGCCAAAGACATTTGTACTTGTATGAACCTTCCTGATCTATCATGTAAATAACCCAGCGTTCTATCTCTAAGAAAGCGTTTCCTCACTGGGTAACATCGGCTATGTGGACTACGGCGGGGATCCAGCTGCACTAACAGAGAAAGCGCCAAACCTCTACTCTTTATAGCGGTAGCAAGCAGAAACTCAAAAAGTGTACTCCTCTTCCTTCACTTTCTCGACCTTATGCTCCACGCTTTGGCACAAACAGTCGGTTGCGATGATGGAAAATTTTTACTTTTCAAAAGTGTATTCGTTTGTCAGGGTGTTTGGCAGCGGCAGCGTATATGTTTATGTACAGTGACGCCTTTTAAGAAGACCACTATCGAGATGAGTTTAAATATTCCAACATATTTAAACAATTTCATTGTTGGAACTACTGTATGCATGCATCTTTTTTCACGGCTGCCTTGGGTTCATTCTCACGAATGCAGCCTTTACTCGCGGCACTATAGCATTCAGAATTGCCATTGTAGGTGGCAGTAAAAATGGGCCTCTCAATTTGCGTTACTTATGTCTGTGTGGGAACACATTCGTCAATATGATGGTTTTACTAACCGATACCTTTTTATCCTAGAATGCAAGCGTTCCATGTCTTTTATAGGTGGTAGTGAGTAAACTTCATCTCTTGTGTTTCGTAAAAAAACCAAAAGGGCTTTTATCACTTTTTTCTTTTTATTATTTTATTTTCTGTAAAAAGACGGAAACAGCAATTAAATCAAACATAGCATGAAATGACGAAAACGAGCAAAGTAGAGTGGACAAGCTCGCCCACGGTACCATGTTTCTTACGTCCTCGCCATTGTGTGCTCTCTCCCCCTGCTAAACCCCCACCAACTATTCCAGCTGAACCTCTTGGTTGAGGGTAACATAAAAGTGCTATTTTCTCTTGCAGTGTACGTGATTAACGAAGAGCCCTCTTCTGTGGTCGTGCGAGTCAGATGATCGACATGCCGCCTTGTTAAGGTGATTGTAGTACAACGTCAAACAAATTGTGCTGCTGCGAATGCCACACTTGAGAAGGGGAACTCGTAAACAAGTGCTGTATTGAATTTTTTTTTGTAAAATGAATTAAAAATAGTGTGAACTCTCACACATTGCTTCATTCCACAGTCCACTGGAAAGATATCTGCAAAATCATGACGCGTCTATTAAACGCACAGCTTGAAAGAAGCCTAATCGCCTTTTTAGAAGAGTATGAAATCTTTGAGGACGTGTACGTGCCGATTTCATATAAATAAGACAGACGGTCAAGAGGGATGGAAGCTTCAAGCTTGCACTTGTACTCGTGCTTACCTTCTCCTCTTGTGTTCGTTAGTGAACATGGTACGAAGCATACATACATACATACATACATACATACATACATACATACATACATACATACATACATACATACATACATACATACATACATACATACATACATACATACATACATACATACATACATACATACATACATACATACATACATACATACATACATACATACATACATACATACATACATACATTGCTTTAGGCAATTAGATGCAGCTTTGAAGAGAGGACCATTTGTCGAAAGGTATGTTGGCTACAGCAGCACCCTACCTTCTATAATTTTTCACCACTGAAAAGCTTGTAAAGAGTCTTCGGTAAGTCAATTTCTCTCTATAGACTTTTGTAAGGCTTGAAAGTCGTTTCATGTGCACTGATGGTTCTCAAGTGTAAATCACCTCAAAATATGAGCATACAAAACGTTCCAATTTAGTGCAAAGATCAATTTTCCACAATAACATAACACATTTTGGCACTTCTTTATGCTGTAAGATAATTTTTGTGTGGATGAGCTGTTTTTATTTCCTACAGAAAGCTGCAGTCGTTATTGTACTTATTTGATTCTTTCGCTTTCGCTAATGAATAACAAATTATGATACAAGTTTTTAAGCAAAACACATTCAAATGTATGCATAGTTCATTTTGCTTGTTAATAATGTAGCTGGAGTAGAGATATCTGGTGGTGATTTTCAATACTTCTTTCAAAACTCTTTTTCGCGTTACCTAAATGCAGGGGATTAAGATAAGGAATTATTATTACGGTCTCAATGCTGCGTTGAATATACTATCGTAGTCATCCATACTTTGTATATTTATTGGGTTTTGAAAAACAAAAATGCAGAGATGCTTATTTGCAAAGGTACTTCCTATTAGAGTAACAATTTATACAATAGCTAGCAATCGGTATTGCACAAGATTAGGTGGTAAGTTGAAGACACTGGTGATAAAAAAATAGTTGTAACTTTGTGACAAAACAATGAAGGGTTATCAATGTGACAAGACTGTCGGGAATACCATTCCACATTTCAGGAAATACTGGTTACGCCAATGAATTGAATGCGTTATTGCGTCTTACTCTTAATCTTACTCTAAAATAATCACTCTCAAAATACTATTGCATAACATAGATGGATTCTTGCCAAAATTACTGCGGCTGTGTTCTTTCGACTGCTGTTAGAGAAAAGTAGAACAGTAGATCATATTACAAATCGTTGATTGAAAATTGTGTCCTGAGAGATGGGTATTCATTGTAAGAACGTAGCCGTCTTTACACAAACTCTCGAAATGCGTCTGTTTACTGTGTCCGCATGCTGAATACAGGAGAAGAAGGAGCAGAAGTACTAGTTGCATAGGTTGGTCGACAAAATCCTACTCTTTTCTTGTAAAAGCCGAAATATGCAGAGGCACCTAAGGAAAATTCGAAAAAATTGGTAGTGTTGTGGGGCACTATTTAGGGGCAGTGTGAAGTTACGCTGCCTGGTACCCTAGCGAGCTGGGGTATGGGTTTACGGTACAAGATACTGAATCATCTCTTGTTTTAAATATTAATACCTAGTGTCTTACGTCTGAAGACCTCCGCATGATTATGAGGGATGCCCTATGACTGGCTTCAAAAATTTTCACAATCTTTTGGTCTTTTACATGCACTGACATCGCCCACTATACTATCCTCTACCAGTTTGACTCCTTCTAAAAGCGATCGCTGTGGCCGGGGTCGAGCACACAAACTCAGGGTCAGCAGCCGAGCACCTTTGCCACTGATTCACTATGATGGACTCTCTTGTACTTCTCCTGTAACACTACCCTTTATCTGCTGCCTTTTACATAAGCAGGTTTGCTTATGCAGACGTACAAATCACAAGTATTACTATTTCTCGCATGCTTTTTTGCGTAAAAATTTGAAGAATACGACTCAAAAATTCTAAACAGTGTATTCGAAGCTGTTTCAATATAAACGCTTTACGTTTTGTCAATAGTTGTGAATCAGTGAAAGCGATATTCACGAGTCTAAAAGGGGATGACATGGTCGAGTATATCTTAATTTCTTATTGCCTCTAAACGGTTTACAGGGCATGAAACACCTGTAATGAAATAAGGAAGGCGCATGAAACGAGCCGTTGAATCTGCCCTATTTTTCCTTTTTAAGTGCGGGTGACACGCATAGTTTTGAGTTACTTGTTTCAGATTTTTTTTTATTACCTCAAACAGAAGTAAGTGTAAGCCATTACCGTCACACTTTTGGGAAAACTTGCGTGCAGCATACGAATAGACGATGGTTCAACTAACGCATTTCATGCTTTAAAAAATAAAAATCTACACTCGAGAAATAGCACAGGGTTGTTTGTCATACGTAATCAATGTCGCCTTCTCTCGTCCTTTCAAATGGCGCTCATTGGCCATCAAATGATCATTGCGCAACAAAACAGCACGAGCCATCATTCAAAATCTACGTATGCACTTCAAGAACGCAGTCGACTTATAGTTTTTTTAATGTATTTCTACTGTCACACGACCCTGTACTAGGAAAGCACGGATGACTTCGCAGTCAGAGCTATACCGCTCTGACACTAAGGATACCTCGTGCACGGCAACAACCGCAGAATTTCATCTATAATGGCCCCCAGGAGTGAAGAGGAGCCGTCCTGACGACTACGTTCCAAATAAGATCACATGGTCATAATATGGCTTGAGTCGTATAACATGCCCCATGTAATGACCGCGATGGTTGAGGTCGTGCGATGGCGTCGCAGATTTAACGGCGTAGTTGACAGAGGGTCTGCGGTAAATTGCGCCGCTGGGACCATCATAACGGGCAAGGAACATTGTTGATAGTCTAAGGCTGCATAGTGGGGCTGACAACTGAACAAGTGAGTCACAAAATGTTGTGTAGACACGTCGCGGTCATGCCACAGCTTTTCGTGACCTTGTGCGATGGCCGTAAGGGTACGTGCAAGCTGCCTACAGTCCTCTGCGTATTTGGCCGCATCAGACACCACGCATCTGGCACTCGAAAGTGTTGCGTCGGTACGGAAGCATTGTATCTGTGGTTCAATATAACTCCCGCCCGTATAGCAGAAATAACGACGAAAAGCCAGTGGTAGCTTGTATAGCAGTGTTGTAAGCGTATTTTATGAACGACGAACGGCACAGCATTGCACGAGTTGCTGTGATTCGAGGCGACGTACATAATGGACATGCCGGCGAGAGTGGGGTCGTACTTGTTCGTCAAGCCGTCCGTTGGCGGCTTGAAGCTGTTAACTTGCGGCGAAGAATATTGCATGCAGCCAAAAGACTTGCATAACCTCGGAAAGGAACACGCCCCTCTGTCATTGAGCAGTTCACGTGGTGCTCCATGCTGAAGAACGAAGTTTGGCACAATGAAACTGTGACTTTGCACGCCGTAGCGGCCGCAAGTGCTGCGGTTCCGGAGTAGCGCATCAGGTGACCGGCTCGTACAACGACATTTTCGATAGCCGAAGAGCTGCTGGGACATGAACACTAGAGGCGTATGTCGATGAGAAAAAAAGGACGAGCCGAGCAGGGTAATGATTGCAATTCGGCAAAGGGCTGCTAGTGGACTTTTCGTCGCTGGCATGCTATGCATGCGCGAACGTACTGGAGGTCGCAGCGATACATTCCGGCTCCGTAGAAGCGTTGCCGTTATGAGGTGCAGCATCGGCATGACCGTTATGAGAAGCAGCATGGAAGTGTTCAAATATTTCACAACGCATGTGCCGGCAATCGCAAATAGCCCCTTGCGACCATGGGGTGAATAGTTTTACCACTTAATGACGCTCTCACGGACAGCAAAGTTAGCAGCGTCGGGACGAAGCATGCAAGGAGATGGTGTGCTGTTTGGATCCTGGGAGAAGTTCAGTACAATTAAAACAGTGGGATTTTCGCGCTGCTACATTGGGATTTCGGCTGCGCCGATGGGTCACACAGATGCTAAAGATGCGCGTGTGTGCCTGACGAAGGGAACGAAGCTCTGCTAGTGCTCAGTCACTGATTAACCGGGGACGTTGCAACTGCTAGTTATAACATATTTTGTCCACAGCCTCGTCGATCCAGCGTCTCTTCTTTCATGTAACAATATTAATGTACAAGCCACATCGAGAGATATCGATGATCGGGAAAGCGGATCGGCGTCAGAGTGCTTCTTGTCTGATCTGTAAACAACGCTGCTGTCGCGTTCCTGCAAGCGAAGCGCCTCACGCCCAAGGCGTTCGTTAAAGAGGACAGCCAGCAGAAGGCGTGGTGAGGCGTGGTGGTCGGTAACTGCGTCGAAAGGACGACCATATAGGTATAAAATTATTTCGATGAAAGCCCAAGTTATGGCTAAGCATTCTTTTTCTCTGACAGAGTGGTCTCTTTGTGCCTTGATTAACGTGCGACTGGCATACGACACAATGTACTCGTGGTAGCTCGATTTCCGTTGTGGTAGGATCGCACCAGGGCGAAGCCGCTGGCGTCCGTGCGAATCTCTGTAGTCACTTTGAGGTCGTATTGACGGAGGGTCAGTGCCGAAGATATAAGGTGCCATAGCTGCTCAAAAGCTTCATCATACGAGTCTGACCATGCGGAATTGCCGTTACTTGCGGTAAAAAAAATTGTAAGTGGTGCTATGATGAACTCTCTCTAACAACCATATGGACGGGACCACAGTTAATAAATTGAATTTTTAGAGAAAAAGGCTTCTAACAAGCCGTCTCAGTTTTGGAAGTATGTACGCAGACGGTTTAGTAAAAGTGCCGAGTCCTTCAACATACTTGACTTCGACAGCGT